TCGAGACATGGTCTCCTTGTAGCTCCAGCTGTCCTGGAACTCATTATGTAGACCAGGCTGGCCTTGAACTCACAGAGATCTGCCTGCCGAGTGCAGGGATTAAAGGCGTGCACCACCACACCTGGCTTTTTTTTCTTTAATGTGTATAGGTGTATTGCCTGCGTGTAGGTAAGTGTACCCATGTTGTGCAATGCCCGCGGAGGTCAGAAGAGGCTGTCGGATCCTCTGGGACTGGAGTTACGGATGGTTCGTAGCCACCATCTGGGTGCTGGGATTCGAACCTGGGTCTTCTGCAAGAACAGCCAGTGTTCTTAACCGCTGAGCTATCTCTCCAGCCCCGAAAGCAAGCATTCTTAACACCCGACTTGTCTCTAGCCCTAGGACATTAATTTATGCCTTTTTCTCTCCTCCTTTGTGTTATCTGGATTTTTTTTTTTTCAGTTCCATTATCCATTTTGCAGCCTTCATAATTGCAGATACCCAGCGCCCAGTGTCAGGGATGCTCACAGTTGTCTGGGTGTCCTGCCCGCTTTCCCCACTTTGTGTTGCTTGTCCTGAAAAACACCTCATTTGCGGGGCTGGAGAGATGGCTCAGCGGTTAAGAGCAATGACTGCCCTTGCAGAGGACCCGGGTTTGATTCCCAGCACTCACATGGCAGCTACGAATCACCCTTAACTCCAGTTCCAGGGGAATCCAAAGCCCTCTTCTGACCTCTGCGGCATTGCACGACACAGGTGCACTCACATACATGTAAGCAATACACTCAGACATAAAAATTTTTTTTTTAAAACTCTGGGGCTGAAGAGATGGCTCAGTGGTTAAGATCACTGACTGCTCTGGAGGACCCAGGTTTGATTCCCAGCACCCACATGGTGGTTAACAACTGTAACTCCAGTTCCAGAGGATCTGATGCCTTCTGACCTTGCCTTCTGACCTTTTTGCGCATTCCACGTCACAAGTACACTTACATGCAGGCAATACACTCATACACATAAAATAAAAATAAAACAAAAAAAACCACCCTCATTTGGTATGCTGTCCCTTAGGACTGTAAGAGTGCTGAGCTCACAGACTTTGTGTCCTCAGACACCCTTTTTGGGGCTGGGGAGAGTTTCATTGTGTTGCCAGGCTGGGCTTTGAGCTCCTGGGCCCAGGTGATCCTTGTGACTCAGCCTCTAGAGTGCTGGGACCTCAGAGGTATAGGCCACCACACCAGCTTCCGTCTCCCCCACCCCCTTTTGGCCAGACTGGGCATAGAATCCCAGGCTTTGTACATGCGAAGCAAGTGTTCAACACTGAACTAAACTCCAGCTCATGCCCTGTGTGTGTACAGGTTCATGTGAATTGTTTGTACATGTCTGCCTATAAAGGACAAAGGTCATCGAATCAGCTAGGCTGACTGGCCATTGAACTTTGGAGAGCCACTTGTCTCCGTGGTTCCAATGCCAAGGTTACAGGCTTGCTTTTTAGATGGGTGCTGGGGATCTGAGCACAGTTTCTCATGTTTGCATGGCGGATACTCTACCAGCTTCGTTCTCTCCAGCCCCTGCCTTTTCTCAGGTGATGAGTTTTCCTCAACACTTGGAACCACAAGTCTTGTTGGCTGGGTGTCATGTCTGCTGTTTAGTTTGTCATTGTTTTTACAGCTGAAGTATTTGCTCCCATATCTTATTAGAACGTCACGTAATAAAATAGGATTCTCCCTTTCTTAGGAAAATAATATTTTCCTCAGTTCTGAGAATTTTAATCCATGGGTAGTTCTGTGTCAATACCATGGTAAGCTGGATATGGGTGAAGGACTCCCATCGTCTCAGGACCCGCCCTCCGCCCTCCCACCACTGCCAGCTACTCGGTCTGTCCCTTCTCAGCTCTGTCATTTCTGGTGTGTCTTGTAAGTAGAGTCATGCAATGTGTAATTTCTCCCTTTACAAATATTTTTATTTTACGTGTACGAGTGTATTGCCTTCATGTATGTGAGTGCACCCGTGTTGTGCAATGTCGCGGAGGTCAGAAGAGGACGTCGGATTCCCCTGGAACTGGAGTTAAGGACGGTTTGTAGCCACCATGTGGGTACTTTGAACCCAGGTCCTCTGCAAGAACAGTCAGTCCTCTTAACTGCTGAGCCATCTCTCCAGCCCTGTGTGTAATTTCTCTTAACTCAGCAGCATGCCTTTGACATTCATCAGGAGGTATCTGTCCAGTATGTTCTTTCTACTGAGCACAGTTCCACTACATGGATGGACTAGTTCGTTCACCCATGAGAATGTCTTTGGATAGTTTTTGTAGTTCTGTGCACGGCTACTGCAAACATCTGTGTTCAGGGATTATCAGGCTTCATATCTCAAAGGTGTATCTTGAGAGTTGAGCTGCCAGGTCATGTGTTAATGAATTTGGATTGTGGTGTTTTGTTTTTTAGACAGTCTTAGGCCCCTCTGTCACCTCCCAAGTGCCAGGATTGCAGGCATGTACCACCATACCTGGTTTGTACAGTGCTGGGAATCAAACTTGGGACCTCTGCTTTCTCGGTGAGCACCCCACCAACTGAGGTACATCTCCAGGTCCTAAATACATTTTTGTTGTTCATGAGACAGGGTCTTGCTATACAACCCGGGCTGGCCCCAAGTTCACAGTGTTGAGATTATAGGTATATGCTACCGTCTCTGGTGGAAAATGCATTTCATTTCATTAATTTATTTATTGAGATGGGTCTTTCTGTGTTGCTCAGGCTGATCTCAAATCCAGGGATCCTGTACCTCAGCCTCCTGAGTAGCTGGGAGTACAGGTATGCCATCACACCTGTTTTCGTGGCTCTGTTTTCTTTCATCATTATT